CCGCTATCTACCTTCATCTGAACTAAGGATACAGCTGATGTTTAACAACAGTAGAGAAAGAAAACAATCCTAGACTCACTGGTTGCAGGATGAAAATCACCTGGAAAGTGTTCGTTTTAATAGGGGGGTATCCAAGATTCACGCACTGGGAGTTGAAACCTGATATCCCTGAGGCACAAGGTAGAAGCTGACGCTTGGCCTGGTGAGCTGAGCATTCAGGAAACATGTAAGTGCCTGTAAGTGCAAGCATGTAGCTAGCATAATTCAGCAGGCTTCACAAAGCCAAATACTAAGCTTGGGCAAGAAAGAGCAAATGTTGTTCTTTGAAAAGATGTAAATTATTTGCTCATTGAGCTCGGCAGAAAATGATTTATATAATGTAGCCCTACTTTTATATTTCTCATTTCTTAAAATCCATACTGTTCTGTATCTTTCTGTCTTCTTATCACTTTTATGCTACTTAGATAGACGCAGTGCTTGTCTTATGATTGTCATAATGAATAAGTGAATAAATGAATAGGCATGTGATTTAAAATATTCAGACTATTAAAATTGTTGTGCCCATCGTGGTTGATTTGGTGTTTGGAGACCATTTCACTAGTTCACAACATGATCAGTTTAATCATGGCTGGCTTATAGATCACCAAATATCTACTGAAAAGAGCCAGTATGGTTAAATGGTCAAGGTAAAATCATAGCTTCAAATAGAAAAAAAGATTATGATTTTACCTCACTCGTTCAGAATTAGAACTATAAGAATTTAGAAAACCATCTATTGATTTAGGATTATAATTAAAGAACACACTGGCCAACTTTGCTTTTTAGAGTGAAGCTCTAGTCTCCAGGGCAAGTATTTATAAAGCATTTCTCAATTGGCAAAGTGCTTCTACACCCATTATTTTATCTAATCCTCTTGACCTCTTACCTTTTGGTTTGAAGATACCATCTGGGCTTCTTCAGAGGTGAGCCCAAGTATTTGGTCTTAATAACTGAGTAGTATTTCCCCAAAGTCTTGTCTTACTTCAGCTTCCTCTGACAACTAGAAAGGCTGTCTTAGCCATTTCCTGCTCAGAGCCCTGCTCCCTTTGAGGCCCTGGCTTGTGCACCAGCTTCCTTCCTCAGAGGTGTCTTCAGTTATCTGCTCACTTGAAAAGCAGAGAGGAGTCCAATCACTGGGGCCTTTTCCTGTTTAGATAACCAGCTCTGCTCCTCATCCACCTTCTCTTCGATGACCCACTCTACAGTCGTCTAGTGTCCTATTAAACCATGTTCGAGTTTCCCCCTTGCAATTTAAAATTTAAAATCATTTGATGGAAAAATGCATAAATTAATTGTTAATGACTACTGCTTCCCAGGTTTTTTGCATCTCGGTTCAGCACACCTCTTCCATGTGATCCTAGCGCTCACACTCCTTCCTCCTTCATGAGCCCCACATCTGCACAAAGGAAATACTCTCCTCTGCCCTTTCCCAACTCTTTTGCCTGGAAATCCCTTCTGCTCCAACCCATGTGTGTCTTTTCTTCTCTTTCTAGTGCTTTAAAACCCCTTTATTTATATTTGTCATTGTACGAAGTAGTTTTTCACTGAATCTACCTTAGTTGTCTTTGACATTTCCATGCTAGTGGATTTATTTGGGGTGTATCTAGTTTGGAGCTATTATAAATTACATTGCTGTAAATATCTTTTAATTAAAATTATTTTCAGAAAATAAATTTCCAAGAATATTAATGTGTCAAAGTTCCAGCCCATTTTTATGGCTCTTATTCCGTATTCAGGTTGCCCTCAAGAAAAAGTACTGACTCGTCCTGTCCTTGGCACTGTGAAGGTGGGCTTTTTTCCTGACACTGGGTTTTATAATAATTTTGTTACCGCTGTTAATCACTATAAAATGATACTGCCGAGCTATCTTGATTTGCGCTTCCAAGTAGGCTGATCTGTCCATATAAAATGTCAGGACTGGGATACTCTTTTTTTTTTTTAAATATATCTTTATTGATTTCAGAGAGAGGAAAGGAGAGGGAGAGAGAGAGAGAAACATCAATGATAAGAGGGGTCATTGATTGAGCCCACAACAGGGCATGTGCCCTGACCGGGAATCGAACCCCGATCGCCTGGATCCTAGGTCGACGCTCAACCGCTGAGCCACGCCCGGCCGGGCAGGACTGGGAAACTCTTTAACATGTAGCCAAAGTAATTTCCAAGGGGAGTGGGATGGGTAATTTCTTCACATCTATGAGACTCAGAAGAATTTGCCTACCCATGGTGTGTGTGTGTGTGTGTGTGTGTGTCTTGATTGCTCTTCAGCCACTGCTCTAGCCTAGATACTTCTTTCCTCACACACACAGATGATTGCCAGAGTCTCTAACCAGTTTACCACACTTCCACCCTCCAAGTCATTTACCCACAACTTCCAGTTTAATGCGCTCACAGAGGAAACAGGGCCCGGGGCAGGCGGACACGGGCACACAGCCAGCTAGGACTGCACCTGGGACTGTCGCGTACTAGACAGTGCTCTTTCTCCTACGTCTTGCACTTCTCACTGCTGGCTGGGAATCCAGATGTCTCAGAAGAGCTGTGGTGGGTGCTGGAGGCTTTCCTTACAGCTCCCTGCTTGCAGCAGCAGCGGCCTCTGCAGAGGGCCCCACGCCCGCTGTCTGTGATTCTGCCCCTTTGCCTCCTGCCGGGGGAGTCCATGGGCCTCATAGCCGCGCTCTGGTTTGGGATGGTCCTGCTGTTACCTCCCTGCTATTGTTGGCAGCTGCCCTGCCTCAGGTTGTGGTCCATGCCTCCTGTTTGCCTCCTGCCTCTTTTCTCTTCCTGAACAATAGGACCTGCTGCCCTGCGAGGCTGCCATAGTCCGGGGACCACGACCGCTGTAAGTTGCATGGAACCAATTTACTGAGCTGGTGGAGGGGCCCCTTGATCACGTGTCTGCAGCTTCCTTCCTGAGGGAGGTATATAGGAGGCCTACGTTTAGCATGACATGGAGTCAGATGTCATGGTTGGTACACACACACGCACGCACACACACACACAGTGAATGCAGTCTGTGTTGCAGCAAAATGTTGTGGTCACCAACCCACAAATGCACACTCTGGAGCCAGAACTGCCCAGGGTCAAATTCTGGCCCTTCCACTTAGCTCTGTGACCATGGGAAGTTGCTGAGCCTCCACCCATGTGTTTCCTCCTTTATCGTTATTCCTAGAAAAGGGGGGGAGATTATAAGAGGATAAACAGATCAGGTCTCACCTGAGCTGTGCCTTTTTCAGTTGCTGGTCAGCTTTATTTTGCAGTTGGAGGAAAAGTAAAGAGGTCCTATAATGGCCCTGGGAGCCTGGAATTTGAATGTGTCTAAATGGAAGAACTGAAATGGGGGCGTTTTCACAAGGTGGGGGCATTAACTTCACATTGGCCTGGTGTGAAGTTGACTGGGTAGAAGCATTTTATGGGCCCTCGCCAGTGCTTCTCTCTTGCAGGGCCCGTACAAACAGGGTTTACCTTCCTGGGGTTCTCATTTCGTTTTTCTTAATACAGTAAACAACAGTAACAAAACACCATTATGTAGCATTTACAATGTGCCAGGCAGTCTTCTACAGGCCCTCTTATACTAACTTATTTTTCGGCCACAACTTATGAGGTATATGAGGTAGACTATCATTAGCTCCATTTTACAGTTAAGCAACTGTGGCACAGAGAGGTTAAGTAACTTGCCCAAGGCCCCCCAGATTAGGCACAAGATTCTACCAACTGTGCACTTTGCCAAGAGGCCTCGGGCTAGCACTCCAGGTCTGCACCTAAGGGAAGAACACACTCCCTGTTATCACTTTTTCTCCAGAACATCTGGCTCCCTGCTGCTGACCCGGCAGTTTTTTATTTGAACTTTAAGTGCCAAACTTAACACGATTGTAATCTGAAAGCACGCCGATTCAGGAAGCTGCAAAGTCGCTTTACTCAGTGGGTTCTCAAGTAGTAAGAAATGATGAATAAAAAAAGTGCAGGCTTCCTGCTTTCAAGCTATCAGGTCTGGACAGAAAATCATTCAACGTTAGACACGGAAAGGACCTTAGAGGTCATATCATTTTACGGTTTCATTTTATAGGCAAGAAAAAAGGCCCAGGGAGGTGAAGTTCTTTGTTCAAGCTCATGAAACATACTTTCCAAAACGGCAGTTAGGTTGTTTAGATGGGTAAGTCGGATAAGTGTTACTGAGATACTACTGTTAGGATCCTAATGATGGAAATGCGCATATGGTATTAGTTTGGTGAGCTCCTACAGCAACCTGGGTTCAAATGACTTAATTCATATAATATAACAAGGTCACCTCACCTAGACAGATCATTTCTCCTACGGGGCATGCCATTGTTCCTGGAACCACAGCTCATTCTGTGTGCTTTGCATACATTTCTAGTGATCACCATTACAACAGCGGTCAGCATTACCCTTCCATTTGAAAATAGAAAGGCAGTGTTGCCTTGGTGGTCAAGAGCTTGGGTTTGAATTCCAGCTCTGTGCCTTACTGGTTTATGACCTTGGGCAGTTATAGCTTACTTATCTGTGCATCAATTTCTCCATCTGTAAAATAGGGATAAAAATAGTACCTACACCCCATGGGGTTGTTGGAAGGATTAAATGACTTAATATATGAAAAGCACTTAGGATAGGGCTTGGCATGTCCTAAGCACTAGTATGAAGGTTGTCTGTCACTATTTCTAGAAGAAGAAGCTGATTCACAATGGAATCACTTCAGACTGTTACATGGAGCTGAAAAAGTACTTACTATTTCTGCTTCCCAGACTAAGGCTGGGCCTTGTTTTATAGCTTGAGTGGGACCTTAAAAAAACAGCTTTTCCAAGATCATTTACCAAGAAATTGACTCAATTTACAGAATTGCAGTCCTTGCCAACCTTCTGAAGTCTACTTCTGTATCTTTTCCAAAAGCAAGTAAGCAAGAAAGCAAGCCAGCATGGAAGAGAAAAATAAATTCTATTCCTTAGTCTGCATTTTGAATTCCCAAGTAGAACATTTTAATGATAAGTACAAATAAGTGAGTTAATGTGGCCACTATCTTAGAGGTTTACACAAATAACTTTCCCAAATAGACTATAACCTAGTATGTACTATAGTCAGTAGAGGGTCAAGATCTAGGTGTCCAACAATGTGAAGACTTGAGAGAAAAATGACAGACTTTACTGATTTCCTATTGACCGTGATTTATCACCTGGGAGCAAGCAGAGGTGAGGTATGTTTTGCAGCTCTGTGTAACAATAGTAACTTATTTTTAATGACTATAGCTTGGGCTCCTGTAGACTTCGAACCTTCCTATGAGCAACCTAAAATAAGTAGAATTAAAACATGAAAAAAATGGAAGTTTCCAAGTGAGTTCTTGCTTTTTCATCTTTAGAGACAGTATGGTGCAGTGGAATTAACAACTTACCGGGTAACTCTCAATCACAGTTTCTAACTCGAGTTAAGGACAGTAAGACGAATCCTGCCGTGTTCTCACATAAGACGTGCATGTAAAGTGAGTGCTGCTCTCCCTTCTCTTTTGACATAAGAAATAATATTTTGGTTAGAAAAATATTATTCCCACTCTGGGAGGACACAGTGTCACAGGCATGTGACTTGGCCATTGGTCAGTGTGGGATCAGTAGAAGGATCTTCTCACTCCAGGCATCTTCAAGTCAGGGCCTGGCGTAGTGAATCACAGAGCTGGATTTTGGTCCCTACTTTTTGGGAACTCCATGCACATCCCTATGTGGCAGTCCTGTATAAATGACAAGAAGGAGGCAGAGGTTACAGTTAGGATGAAGAGTTTTCCAGGTAGAGAAAACAGCAAGTGCAAAGGCCCCGAGATGGGAGTCAAGCCTGGTGGGCTTGGGGAACATGAAGTCCCGGGGCTGAAAACAGTTATCAAGGGGAAGACTGACAGTAGGTGAGTTTGGAAAGGTGAGCAGGGGCCAGATCTCACAGTTCCATGCAGGACAAGCACAGGAGACTGGATCGTATCCTGATTGTATAGGAATCCACCGGAGGGTTTTATACATAATCTGAATTCTGTTTTCAAAAGATCATTCTGGCTATTATACAACCAAGATTCAAGGGGTGAGAGTGGAAGCAAAGAGACCAGGAGAAAGCAATTGTAGGAGGCTGCAGGAGGGGTGAGGTGCCTCCATCGGAGTAGTGATGGAGAAAGGAGAGGTATGGGAAATATTCTGGAGGTGAGCACCACGGAACTTCTTGATAGATTTAAAGGGTATAGAAAGAGGAGGAATTAAATATGATTCCTTGGATTTTGGCTTGAGCCATTGGGTTCATGCTACTCCCGTGTACTGGAAGTTAGGAAAACTAGGGATGTGCAGGGTTGGATAGGTGGAATCAAGAGTTTCAGAGATGTTAGGTTTGAGATTCTTATTAGTGGAGATGGCAAGTAGGCAGTTGAATATATGAGTGTGGAACTTTGGGTCAAGGCTAAAATTATAACTTGGACTCATCAGCGTATAGATATTATTTAAAGCCATGGGGCTGGATGAGTTCATCCAGAGAGAGAAAGTATAGAGCAGCCAGGACGAAGCCCTGCAGCACTCCTTTAGAGGCTGGGCACAGGAGGAAGAGGCTGTGATGCCAACTGAGCAGATCGGTGGGAAATCTCAGCTGGTACCCAGAGCCGTATGTGGCATATGCCAGGACGGCCACTACAGAGACGAAGGGGATGGCCCTGGAGAGAGCACTGCCCTTTGGAGAATAAACTAATTTGTTAAGTGATAAGCACTGTTTCTCTGCAGCTGTCTAACCAGTATTTACTTTTGTTGCTTTTACCTATTTTGCTAATTTTATATAAAATTATGCACAATAGTTGTTAATTTGCACTTGTAAAATAAACCAAGTACTAGTTTGCCATTTTCCCCTTGCTATACGAGCATTCTGTTACTATCTTTGAGGCTGGTTATTGTTAAGGATAATTGTTTAATTTCATTTGGTTGACTTTTTTCTTTCTTTCGTCTAGGGCTATTTTTGGCTATATGTAACAGAAAACTTGACTGCAGTAAGAAGGGGTTACTTTTGCTTACAAAACAAGGTATCTGAAGGCAGATGATTTAGCAATTCCACTAAGAATCCAGACTTATTGCCCTGGCCCGTGTGGGTCAGTAGTTAGATCGTTGACCTGCCCACTGAAGGGTGGTGGGTTAGGTTCTCGGTCAGGGGCATGTACCTAGGTTGCAGGTTCCATTCCTGCCCCAGTTAGGCACCTGTGGGAGGCAACCAATCGATGTGTCCTCTCTCTCTCACCCTCTCTCTCCCCTCCCTCCCTCCTTTCCACTCTCTCTAAAAATTAGTGGGAAAAAATATCCTCAGGTGAGGATTAACAACAACAAAAAGAATCCAGACTTATTCTTCCCTTTTTAAAAGATATGTTTTTATTGATTTGGGAGAGAGAAAGAGAGAGACATCAATGATGATAATCATCGAGCCTGCAACCCAGGCATGTGCCCTGAATGGGAGTTGAACCATGACCTCCTGGTTCATGGGTCAACACTCAACCACTGAGCCACGCAGGTGGGGCTTATTCTGCCTTTTGAATCCACCATCCTCAACTGACAGCTTTTTCCTCAGGTTTGCCCGATGGCTGCAGACCTCTGGCCATCACATCTATACTCCAGCAGGAAGAAGGACACAGAGAAGACCTGTCCTGGCTGAATCTATTCCTTTTCATTAGGAAAACAATAGCTTTCTTTGAAGCCATGTCAGTAGAAGTCTGCTATATTTCTTTGACCAGAACTAGGCTGAATGGCCATGGGAAGTTGCAAGGGAACCTGGGAAGGTAACTATTTTTCTTTTATTTATATATCATTCACTTAATCATATTTAGACATTTAGCAGGACTTGAGGTATCTTGTATACATCACATTCTAACCTCCCATTAAAAAAATTTGTCTTTAAGTTTAAAAAAGTTATTTCTTTAATTAAAAAATTTAGTTTAAACAACTTAATTTTAATTGCTATACAGTAACATTTACCCTTTTCGGTGTACAGTTTTTTGAGTTTTGAAAAAAATAGAGAAAGGTGACTACTTTTAACTGTGAATACTGATGCTTCCCCAAATTGCTTGATATTTCCACAATGGAAAAGGACAATTGTTAAACACAACAGTAGTTTGAAAAAGAAGAGACTCCCTATCCAATGAACCTAAGTGAGGCTTCCTGAGATGAGATGAAACGGAATAAAGTAAGAGTATGAAGGGTTCCCTGAGTCAAGGGGGCAGTTTGCATCTCAAGAGTACCTGACCATAACCATTAGGTTTCTACTCTGCTCAAAAACCATCTCCTCTGGCCATCCTTCCAGGCAAGGATGAGGCTTGGATCCCAGCATAATGGTGGAGATGGTTTTAGGAAACACATGGTTTTGTCGTCAGGATTGGGGTTAGGCCCAAAATGGATGAATAGATAAGCCAGCAAACAGCTGTTATATGTACATTTTCATTAATCATTGCCATTTCCAGCCTGAGTGATCATATGATAATGAATAACATGAAATTCAAGTAATTATCACTATCAAATTTACCATATTAATGAAAGGTTTGGCAGAGCCCCACAATGTGAATAAATGATCATTTCATTGCTAGCATTTATTGAGCACCTACACCAGATGCTTACCATACATTATTATCTCATTTAATCAACCACTTGTAACTGAATCTTCTCTGGATTCGAGATAGTGATTTGGGCTTGACAGTTCACTATCAGTTTTATGCAGAATGTGTTAAGATGTAACTCACATTTATAGACTTGCTTGGTTTTCATCTGTACTGAAAGAAA